CTCTCCCCGGCCCCGTGCCCAGTCGCTGAACCCAGCACTTTTCTTTGTGCCCGTGGCACAACAGAAGACCTGACCCTGCCACTTTGTGCCCCGCATGCAGCCACCCCAACAGGGCATATATAGCCCCAGAGCAGCCCGGCACGCTGCCCTCCCCGCCTGCTGCACCCACATGGGCACCCAGCTCTGGTGCTGCTGCAGCTGGGAGGGTGCATCAGCCCCATGCCCATCTGGTACCCACCCTGACAGCCACGCTGTGCCTGTCTCTCCCCTCCAAACACTGAATCTCTCGCTCTAAACATCTCTCCATATCCACAGATGGCTGACGCGCTGCCCTGAAGATGCCAGAACACGACTGAAGTGCTTTGAGATGCTTCAAGAGTTGGTTTGGGGTTTCTTTCCAAATGACGTGTAATCGAAGCTGACACTTTCCAAACCATCCCTATCCCTGAAAACGGTGTTCTCCATGGAGGATGTCCCCTGGTGTGGATGTTGACTGGGTTTAGCCCGTTTCATTCTGTCCCATCCCCAGTTCTGCCGCCGTTGCACTGTGTGGTGCCAAACCCTCTGAGCCATTGCCCAAAACCCTGAACCAAAAGCTTTTATTGACCCATTCTTCTTGCCGCGTGGTTTTAGGGGGCTGTGCCCTCAGTGGGTGCTGCTGCTCCGTTTGCCTTAGACCCTCCCTGCAGCCTGTTCTCTCCCCTGGACACTGGGCAGCTTTTTATGATTCTGAGCTTTCAATTTGCATTCATGTCATGTTTGATGGACACGTTTCTGTTCTAGCTCCTGAGCGCTAATCACCAGGTCTCACCCACTCCCAGGTTCTGCTGCCCTGCCCCTGGCTCCACTTTCCCTCCCAGCGCCTTTGGATTTGGGTACTGGAAAACTGTGTCCAGAGGGTCTGAGCTCTGCTCCTGGCAGCTGCTTTGGCTGTTCTCTGAGGACTCGGCAGCGCAGGGATTGTCCCTGTGACAGTGCTGTGGAAGGGCTGACAGCAGGATCTGTCCTGTCTGTTCCTCAGCTCCTCTGGACACAAAATCTCTGCTGTCCCCACTGAGCATCTCTACCCCTGGCTTTGGAAAGCCTCTGCACCATCCCGTCCTGCATCATTCCCTTGCTGCACTGTCACATCATGCACCATCCCCTCTTGCAGCATCCCCTCCTGCATTGTCTCACCCCTGCACAGGAGGACACATGGGATGAGCAGCTCAAAGCCAGAGAAGAGCTGCCCCAGCCTTGCTGCATGGCTGGAGCTGACACAGCTCAGCCCCACAGGTACCAGCATGGGCTCATGCCCAGCACAAGGGGTTTGTTCTGCCCTAGTGGGATCTGCTGCATGCACACCTCCTGCTGCACTGCTGCATGTACACCTCCTGCTGCATCGCTGCATGCAGACTCCTGCTGCTGCACCCCCTGCCTGGTGCTGAGCAGCACCATAGGGACACCGGCTGCAGCCCAGGCTCCCCACAGCCACATCCTGGTGCTGGGGCATGCTGCAGAGAGCAGCGAGCAGCGGTCCCTGTGCTGGTGGCCAGCACCAAGCTGGGTTCAGCTCAAGCCACAGCGATCAGCTTGTGCCTAATGCACATTTGTGGGGGGTGCAGGTGTTGGGAACAGCCCTGCTGCAGCCCGGAGCAGTCGGTTCCATGTGAGCTCATGGTGCCGGGGCTGCCAGGGCTGGAGGGAGGATGCTCCGGCTCCACCCCGGAGATTCCTGGCAAACACTGGCCCAAAACAAAGCCCTACCTGGGAACGCGGGAGTTGCCACCAGCCCAACAGCCTCCTTTTGCTGCCCCTTTGCTGCCCTGCTTTGTGGGTGCCTCTGCAGGGTGCCAGCCCCTGGAGCCCTGCACACACCCAGCATGACCCCAGGCTGATTTAGGGGTGGTCACCCGGAGCAAAGCTTGAAGGTATTTAGGTACAAAATGTGGCTGCAGTGGGATCTTCCCAGGTCCCTGCACAGAGGCAGGAGGAGGCTGCAGCACTCCCCAAGTCTGCATTGCAGGCCCCCCAATGCCTTTGCAAACGTGCCCCTGGCTATCCCGTGCCCCCATCCCTGCTCGTTGTGATGCTTCATGGTTGCTGTGCTCAACCTGCAGAAGAGCTGCCCCTGCTTTCAGGGACATCTGCTCTGCCACAGCAGATGGAGATGGAGATGCAGCTTTCCTGCTGCTGCCCAGCAATGCAGGTGAGGAAACCTCCCCCCAGCCAAGGCACAGGCAGGGGCCGTGGTCCACAGGGTCAGGGCAGTGGGAGCCGTGGTGTCCCTGCTCATCAGCGTTGCTGCAGAGTCGCCTTTGTTCTGCCCGGTCCCTCCTCCTGCCATGTGCTGAGTTAGGGGTTTCCGTAATGCTCCCCTGGGCTCTGATCTAGCTGGAGGCTATAAAAACCCAGCGAGGCTGCTGGGCATGTCACCTCCCGGGCACCAGCGCGTCACCCAGGTAAGCACAGGAGCCTGGCGGCAGCACCACAGGAATAGGTCCTTGGAGAGGAGCAGTTGTGGGGAATTATGGAGGAGGATCTGGGAACCTGGGCTGGATCCTGCAGCCAGGCTGGGAGACAAGGGCAGCCGGGGACAGGCTGTGGCACTGCTCTGCTGTTACACGTCTCTGCACTGGGAATGGTGGTGGGGGACCAGGGGACGTTGCAGGAGGTGACAGCAGGAAAAGGGTGCTGCTACTCAGCATGGACATGCAGCCACCTCTGCAGTGCTCCTGGCTCTGCTGGATCACTGGCATCTGCTGCACAGGGATCTGCCTGTCCAGGTCCCTGGGAGCAGGGATCAGGAGTCTGTCCTGTCCTGTCCACGGGAGCAGGAGTGTCCCTGGGCACAGGCAGTGTGCTCACACTGCTGCAGTGCTGGACCATGCAGGGTCCGGGCAGGCTTTAACAGTCCCATTCCCCTGGCAGAGCCACCATGACCCACCACAGCAGGAGATCCTCT